CTCTCAGAGCACGGGCTGTTCATTCAACCGCACAAGTGTGAGTTTGCCAAGTCGAGCCTCAATTTCCTCGGGCATCATGTCTCTCCGGCTGGCATCGCTCGGCTGCCCGATCGTGTTGCTGCTATTCAAGCCTTTGAGCAGCCTACCCCTGTTCGTCATCTCCGGAGGCTCCTCGGCTTGGTGAACTTCTAAAGACGATTTGTCTCACACTGTGCAGCGCTGACTCAACCTCTCTGCTTGCTAATTTGCTCGGCCAAGCCCCCCAACGCTGCACTCAGCTTCTCTCCTGAGGCACTCTACGCCTTTTAGGCCACTAAGGACGCTGTAGCACAGGCGACGCTACTCATTCATCCTGTTGCTGATGCTCCCCTCAGCCTTGCCGTTGACGCATCAGATGTTGCCATTGACGCCGTCCTCCAACAACAGGTAGACGACACATGGCAGCCCCTAGCATTCTCCAGCCGTACTCTCCAGCCTGCTGAGACGCGGTACAGCACCTTCGGGCGTGAGCTGCTCGCGATGTATCATGCCGTCCGGCACTTTTGGCATTGTTTCGAGGGTCAGACGTTTTTCATCCTCACGGACCACAAGCCCTTGATCTATGCGATACGTGTACATTCGCCAACACGCTCATCCCGCAAATGCCGGCACTTGGCTTACATCAGCGAATTCACCGCTGATCTACGGCACATCTCCGGCACCGAAAACTGTGTTGCTGATGCTCTGTCCCGTTCCATCTCAGTGGACTCCCTCTTCGTCCGGCCACCGGACTATGACGCTTTCACCGCAGCGCAAACCACGGACCTTGAACTACAGCGTCTCCGTTCTGCTTCAGATACCACCCTGCAATTCCAGGATGTCACCGTTCCCGAGTCCAGCCGTCTCGTGGTGTGTGACACTTCAACTGGCACACCACGTCCGTACGTGCCTGTGGCTTTCCGTCGCCAGGTGTTCGACTCCCTGCATGGGCTCTCACATCCCGGCATCAAAGCCAGCCGCCGCCTGCTTGCTCAGCGTAACATTTGGCCACACAAGCAGCGTGGTATCCAGCACTGGGTCCGTACTTGCCCCGTGTGCCAGCGGACCAAGGTTCACCGCCATACACGGAGCCCAGTCGCCCGTTTCCTTCCCCCTGGTCAACGGTTCGCCCATATTCACATTGATTTGGTCGGCTTCCTCTACTTATTGACCTGTGTCGATCACATCACCCTGTTAGTCCGAAGCCGTGCCCATTACCGATGCTACCGCAGAGACCACTGCCATGGCATTTGTGTCGATATGGGCTGCTCGTTTCGGCGAGCCGTCTGTCATCACGACCGACCGTGGTTCGAATTTCGAATCGGCTCTCTTCCAGCAGCTAATGCATCTTCTTGGTACTAATCGCTGTCGTACTACTACCTATCATCCGCAGGCTAACGGCTTAGCCGAGCGCTTCCACCACCAACTGAAGGCCGCCATCAAAGCGCAACCACAGCCGCACCAGTGGGTCGCTCCACTGTCTCTCATTCTCCTCGGTATCTGGTCATCTCTCCGGACTGATTTCGACTGCAGCTCTGCCGAGCTCGTTTATGGGTCAACACTCCGTCTCCCCGGCAATTTCCTCGCTCCCACTCCCAACGACGACTGGGTGCCTACTGCTGAATATGTTGCTTGTCTCCGGGACACGATGTCTTCTATCCGACCAGCTCAGGTTGACACTCACCTTCAGGCTCGACCGGTCCCTTTTGTCAGTGCTGACCTCTCCACATGCACTCATGTTTACGTCCGCGTTGATGGACACCGTCAGCCACTCCAAGCTCCTGATACCGGTCCTCATAGTGTTCTTTTCCGTTCGACCAAGTCTCTGGTGGTTGAGTTGAATGGTCGAGAGGACACCATCTCCATTGACCGCGTGAAACCCGCGTATGGAGCTGCCAGTCTCAGTGCTGCGGCTGCTTCTTCCATTGCTGCTCCTAGCTCTCCCCTTTTTGCTGCTGCTAAATCATTTGTTCGGCGCGTTCATTTTTCTGTTTAATGTTTTCTCGGCTTTTCCGTGTCTTTCCCTTTCTTATCGTGTACCGCTCCTGCTTGTACACTGGTGGGGGAGTATATGTAGTGCCTGCACGGATTTCTTGCGATTTATCTTTCGTTCCGCGATTTTGTAATTGTGTGCATTTCTCAAGCTTCTGCGCGGCAACATTTTTTTACAGGATGTAGCCTTTATCATGATTGTTGTCATTGTCGGCTACGTAGAGTACCATGCTACGCATGACCCTCGGAAGGTTGCGCAGATGTACCACTTCCTGCGAACTCTGCTACATGCTTATGTACCCGTCGTCTTTCATAATTTGTACATAACTAATTCTTCACCATTTATAATATCATTATACTGCTGTGTTCTGTCGGGCTGTGGTTTGTCGGGCTGAGCTCATGCAAGCTCTAGCTCTTGCGAGAGACGTTTTCGTCCTTGACAATGTTTCCAGGCAGACGAGTTACTTGAATAGGCGAAAGGCACCTATAGTTATTCAGCTGCCTTGCCGTGGTTAGCTATAAAAACCCTGCAATCGCCACGCAAAGTGGTCATTGGCTACCCTAGCCATGTATTGCTTGGAATAAAATAAATAAATAAACTGAGCAATAGCAATAAATAAGATAAATTGTGCACTCATAACAACAGCAAAAAATGAAGAAAGTCAAGTTCCATAACGTTTTCTTGTGACTGTCATCAGTGGAACGCCGTCACATAAAAATGTAATAACTAAAACACACACTTATAATAATGATGTAGCTAGTATGGTTTCAGGTAGAAATACAGCAACCAGCAAGTACAAAAAGCGAAGTTTGCACCTTTGCAATGTGTGAATATAGTGTATGTGAGAAAGGTAGTGGCTGATGAATGTGATACTGTGTGAATGAATGTAATGGTGCGTGTGTATTACTTGAAGAGTGTGAGTGATACAATGTTTTCCTTCTGTTTACACAGCACAGGGTCACGAGAAAGATTGTGCCTGAAAAGCACCACTTATATAGTGCTCTCCAGCCACAAACATCACCAGGGATACAACTTTACAGAGACGATTCGTTTCCAGCGCGAAGAACACGTCGTGAGTCCCCAGGTAGCAGCGTGAGTCAGGGTCGCTGATGGAGTTGTGCTAAACAGACAGTGAGAGCCAGTAGCCATTCACAACGCTGTCGCTTCCAATAACAAGTGGCACGTTCGCGAACATTATACTAGTACATGTACCTTGAAAGATATTGTGTCAAGTAGAGCAGGTTGCCCAGCTTGGTTGACACTACCGTGGAACTGCCCACAGCCAGGCCCCACAAAAGGCCGTAAGGGGAAGGTGTAGCTGTTATTTCGCGCAGCCACTGCAGAGCCTGTTCTTTCGCTCGCCTTACATGTAGTCGCCGGCCAAGAAGCAATGTTGATTGATTGATTGATTTTATTTTACTTCGCAAGTTCAAGCGGGTTCCTGGCCCAGTTATATGAAAGCGAAGGATAGAATTTGCGAAAATCCTAATGAGCAACAGCATAGGCAATATAGTCATAGAAGTGGAGTACTGTGCGAGCGAGAATACTGAGAAAAAAAGGAACATGTCAAAACCTGACGAAACACAACCTATTCCAGGCATACATAAGGAAGGCCGGCTAGCTTAAAATCTTGCAATCTGGATACGGTGCGCACCTCTCTAGGCAAACTGTTCTATACTACAGCAATGCTCCTGCGGTGGCGAATCTCGTTTGGCCACACGGACTGCGAGCTGGCTGGCTGAGCAGACCATTGGCATGCAGATGGCGCGTACTTCTGCCGCTGCATGCTGCTGGTTTGAGAAGCTGGGCTAGAGCAAGGCTAGTGGAGTCATTTAGACAACGCCAGATGAAGATCAGGAGCTTTTGTTTAAAAAGTTCAGTGACGCGGTAAATCGAGTTGGCAGCCAGGCTAGGAGGGGCTGCATCGCGGAACATGGCGGGCTGCCATCAATGCATCGGATCGCCCGGTTTTGCATGGCTTGCAGACGCTGAAGTTGGGTCACGCGGAGGGCTGCAGAGAAGCAGCAGGCACCATAATTATCATATCCGGCATGACAATAGCCTTTACATATATCTTGCGCGAGCTGCGGGAGAGGCATCGACGGGCTCGCCACAAGGCGCCAATCTTCCTCGCAGCTTTGGTCACTATGGCGTTGACGTGTACATCCCAACTCAGGCGGTTGTCAAGAAAGACACCAAGATACAGCGCAGACTTCACTAACGGTAGAGAGGTATGTTGCTTTTGTCTGTTTTTTTCTTTTTCTGTTTTCGCCGGTTTCGTTTGGTTCTGAGACCAACCAACATCGTATACCTGCGAAGTGCGAACACTAGCCTGAAATTTGAATTGGTGCAAGCCAAAACGTTACTTGACTCGCGCGATCGGATCACATACATAGCTGTGGGTCCTCTGCACTCAGTAGAGTCAAGTCGAGCGAGCTGCAACTCCCGGTGCCGAAAGGCGGGCTAACGCCCCTACATGGCTACTTCCCCTTGTCTAATCCCCAAGACGAAATGATAGTAGCCAACTGGCCGAAATTAAAAAAAAATCACATACACTGAAATGCCGCGTATGCCCCAACAGTGCATGATGTAGCAGATGGTTCGTGGAATAATGATATGGCTCGACAGGTAAAACACGTGACACTCATTGTCATGAGATTCCATCCTTACGTTCACCTGTCACAAAGTTACAGCTAGTATTCCCCATGTCCTCACGTTCTCAACTAGTGTGTAGATAACTCAGATAGACGGCCGCATGAGCTCGTGGCCTGACGGCGTCTTTTGTAGCTTTTGTAACACAAAGCAGTCCCCAGCACATCAGGGCAAGGTGAGAGGCGACGTGATCAAATATAGACCTACATCACGGGTATCGGATTGGTAATGACAGGCTATCACGAGATTCGGAATTTTCTGCGAGAGAAGTTGCAATCAATAGAATGATGTACTTCGAAGCAGGAGGTGACGCCCGCTGAAACGGACATGGCGAGGATCTCGCACAATCTTCCACAGGCTTCCGCCTCGGGGACACACATCCATTCAGTCACTAGACATGTTCAAGAAATAAGTTAGCGGAGGCAAGATTACTACGAAATACTGCAGTAGCTGGAGTAGAATATCAGTGAAAAACGGTGGTAGTGGTATTACATTATACTTTTCTTCACTCCAAATTGACTCCATCCGACTGCAGTTTATTGTTGTGCGCGGTGAATCATACCAATGAATGGAAATGGACTTGGACGCCGTACCATTGTTGCTAGAGTTAGGGCTAAATGATCAAGACATTGTCTTCTTGGGAGACGTACGAGTGAGGCAAGAGGATGAACTCGGTCGAGGGTCAGATGCACTCGTGTATCGGCTGAACTGGCAGGGAATAGACATCGCCCTGAAAGTTCTGCATCCCGTTTTGATTGAGCCTGATGTTCTTGGCCGAGAAAGGACAATAAAATCATTTGGCCAAGAGATATTCCGTCTCAGTCGCATCCACCACCCAAATCTTTGTCAATTGCTAGGCATTGCTCGAGTGGGGCGAAACGCTGCTCTCGCGTTGGAATTGCTGACTTCGACGTTGGAAGAGTTGAGTATTGGTGAGGATCGTGAGGATGGGTTGAAGTTGGTCGGCTACCTCTGTGATACGTCGGCTGGCATCAGATACCTGCACGTCCGTGGTATTCTCCACCGGGACCTCGCACCGAAAAATGTTATGATCAAGAACGGAGTCGCGAAGGTGTGTGATTTTGGTGTGGCGAAATTCGTACGTTTGGCATCCCCTCGTCAACAGCAGCAGGAGGCACAAGCATCTAGATTGGCCATGACTCGCTGTCCAGGAACTCTCGCGTTTATGCCGCCAGAGGCGCTGGTAGAGCAACCTGACTATGACCGCCCCCTGGATGTGTTTTCGCTTGGAGTTACGCTGCTAGCTGTTTTGACTGGAGTTATGCCCGGGATTGACCTCCTCAGCGCACCCGCGATTATCGTTCGCGAAGCCGGTGGACGGGAGACTAGGCAGGTGATCGCAGAGACCAGACGACGTGCTGCTTACCTACAGCGACTGGCAGACGACCACCCATTGAAGCCGCTCATTCTTCGCTGCCACTCCAATGAACCGAGCGAGCGACCGACCGCCGAGGACGTACACGAGGAGATGAAGCGAGTGTTGCAGCTGTTCACCGGTCTTTCTTCGGTAAGTACAATTCTGCTCAATAAAATCCAGTCGAGTTTCTCAAGTACGCGCCCGGTGTTGCGCAGCCCTGGACTTGCGAACACTGGGCTGGGAAAAGGTGCACGGCGCCCACTTGCCTCTCGCGATTGGATTTCATTGAGTAGCACTGTAGTTAGTGGGAATGGAACTCTTAAACGAAGTACTCCCTTTGGGGCGAGGAGAAACGTACTTGCTATCCCAGGTACGTCTTGTCCAAAGTAGTTGGAACACTCCCCACGACCAAGACACATTGTGCGTGGGGTATGTCCAAATATTGTGTATTAAACTCTTATAAGGCGTGAGCGGAAAAGTACTTCTTATCAGAGGCACCTACCTAGTACCTGTACATGATTATAGTTCTTATCCAAAGTTGAGTCCTGCCACCACACGTTTGTAGCATGTCCAAATCCTTGAAATCGTTCATTCCGCCCAGGCCCAGAAAGGTTGTCATGAAGCCAGGTGTACCTGCACTGCACACAGCCTCCTAGTCCTAGATCCTCAGAATTGCAATCACTCATTGTACATGTACAATCATAATGTACTTAAGTACCTGTCAACCTAACCTGTCATGTATAGACATACACGTACACCTACTAAGATACCAAGAAGTACGCAGTGTGGCAGGCTATGCTAAAACTCCTGCCATAATCTACATGTAGGAGTTGTACAATGTACAATGTACACGATTGTATGTCCTATCACAGCACGTTATTATTATTATTATTAATTTTTTGTATCATAAGAAGAGGGGGGGGGGGGGGGGTTGACAACTGACAACGGCTCTGTTCAGTTGCTATTCACAATCTCCCATGGGCTGGATAAAAAATTAATTTTATTGTGATGTCGAAAACATTATGACGTTTTGGGCCAGTCACCCATCGTCAGAACAATAATACAAGGGGCGAACCTGGATCATAAGAAGAGGAGGGGGGGGGGGGGTGACAACAGTTTCTGTGCTTCATGTGTTTCCTTTCAGTGTGTGTGTGTGTGTTGGTGTGTGTGTGTGTCTGTCTGTCTGTCTCTCTGTCTGTCCGTCTATGTGTGCGTCTGCGTGTGTGTTCGTATCTGTGTGTGCATGTGTGTGGATCTGTTTGCCTCCGTGAGGCAGTGTGCACGGTGGTGTCATTGTGTATCAACGGGTGGTTGTGCGTGTATGCGCTTTGTGTTATCCTTGTGTTGTCATTTTCCGTTGCGGCATTATTCCAGGCTTCCAATTCCAGTGTACCCACGTCTGTTGTTCGCCGGCTGGACGTCATCTCCGAGCAGCTCACTCTGCAAGCACGGACAATCGCCGGACTGTCAACCAGGAGTGATACACTAGAAGACCAGCTTACAGGGGTCATCACACAAAACCAGACCACCACACAACGACAACTTACTGCGATGCAACAGCAACTAACTACAACACAAGAGAAAGTGACTGAGACTCAGCAACAACTTACTTCAGCACAGCAAGAGGTATCCATTGTCCATAATGAGCAGGCGTCGACAAGCCTACAAATTGAAGCTTTAGCCGAGCAGGTCAGAGATACAAACCGACGCGTAGGGAACGTGACTGAACGTCTGACAACAACAATGACTGAACAACACCTACAGAACTCCGAACAGGTCTCAGTGTTGAACGACCGTTTATCTGCTACCCAAGACCAGCTATCCTCGATTGATAGCCATCTTACCAAGATGTCGTCGTCAAGCCAACAGGTGATACTTCTTTCTCGGGGAGTTTTAGAAAAAAAGAATGTGTACTTAATAACACACGGTCCAGTTGCTTAGCTAATTACTTAGCTGGTCATCATGTGGTTGGTGTAGTTTGCACTCATCATGTGCCACCCGGATTCTCCCTGAGCCACATAGAAAACATCTCGGCCTTACCAGGCACTACGTAGGCATATGCGGATTCTGCCGGCAGACAAATTGGCAGAATTCGGTACTTTTTCTGGTACGTTTCATGCATGTTTGGTATGTGGATAAGGAAATGGAGCAGAATTCGAGGTATTTCCCGCCATAAGGTTTGTATGGTTCTGCCAATTTCACTACTTTTCGAGCAGAATCTGCCACCTTTTCGAACGTTATCCGCACACCCCTAGTACTAGGTAGCATTATGTGCAATCAAATTGTCAGAAGGCATAGTGAATGTGAAGCTCAAAACTGTGAAAGCAGTCGAACAAAATGCATTGCGGGATAATGTTCAGCGTGTAGCAAGTTATCGGGCTGAATTCCATCAATAATTCTTGATTATAAGCCTGGAAAGACAAAAGTACATTGAATTTGTTTGGATTCTGGCCAGGCTGAAATTGATGAATTATAGGTTAATTTTGTAGAAAGGAAAAAGGACCAAGAAACTACAAGTTACGCTATAATGTCCACTAACACTACCAGTAACTAAACAATCAGCTCATGCGATAAAATTGCACGAGACTGACCGACGGTGTTGACGTTCTACAACTAACTGGCTAACAGCTTTAGCACATCTTGGATGCGCACTCCAACAGCCTTCCAACTGGTGATGTTAGTGGACATTACAGCGTAACTTGTAGTTCCTTGGTCTTTTCTATAAAATTATGTATCCTTGGTTCCCCATCCGAGTCCATTCTATAGGTTAATTGAGAACTCCTTTTCTAAACCGGGGGCTTAAGTGTGCATTTATGTACATGTAGGTACGTGTGTGGGTGCTGTTAAGTTGCACTGGTACATGCATGTACGGTCCATTCTTTTTGTACACTTTCGTACATATACATTTAAGGACAGGCATGACTATTCCATCGAATAAGAACGAAACGGCTGTATGCGTGAAGAATAAGAACGGGCTAGGCTAGAACCCTGATTCCCGTTCTTCAAGGCCTGAATGTACTGTATGTCATGCCATCACCATGTGTGTTTTTTATCGTGCACATGTCATCTGCAGGTATCTGCTACAAGCCCTATGGCTGCATCAGAAAGCCTGCCAAGTTCTGAGTCGGCCTCTTCCATGGCCTCTACTGCAACAACTAGAGTTAGTTAAAAATAATGTTTTGTCTATAATTATGCCTTTCCAAACTCCTATCAAAAGTGTTGTTCGCCATCAGACTCCTACATAGAAGTGGTCCTTTGGTGGATGATGTGGAAATGAGTCGATAGCAACTGTCTGTTGCGAAAATTTGACGTATGGTTCAAGCCCTGTACTGAAATCAATTCTTCATATCTACTGACGTACATCTCTGTTGATACGTACGCATCGGATAGCCTTAAACTGATAAAGACAACTAACTTCATTGTAACCGTTAGATATGCCAATAGCTTCAATGTTCCACTGTACATGAGACAAACGCTTCAATTCAAAGTGCAATATGAAACGAGGTTCAGCCATATTGTGCTCAAAGGGTACACTGCTGCTGGTGTGATGAGGTTAGCCAGAGAGCACATGTGGAGGAGGTAGAATTGCTTCAAGGAGAAAATATCTTTATAGACAAGAACAAGGACCAAGGAAGTAAAAGTTACACTATAACGTCCACTAACACCACCAGTTACTAAACAATCAGCTCATGGGATAACATTGCTTAACTTGTAGTTTCTTGGTCCTTTTTCTTCTCTATGAAGTTATCCTTGGCTCTCAATCCCAGAAAGTGTGTGCAGTAAATTCTCATCAGATTTCTGTTTTGGAAGCCGATTTGGAGATGAAGGTAGAGGACGAGCTCCTCGAGAGCCCAATGGATCATTATTATTATTATTATGACTACACCATAGCTCAGTGGTTAGAGCATCGCTGGCTACAAGCGAGGGTCCCTGGTTCGAGTCCTGGTGGTGACAGTCAATTTTTTCTTCAGACTTTTCCCGTTTGTCTCTTTCCCTCAAACCAGTCAATATTATTATTAGCATCCCCCCACCTCACAACAGAGCAACTGAGTTTTGCATTAAGCTGGGAGTGCCGATTCGAGCAACTGGTATAATGGCTCGCAGCTGAGCCAGCAAATGACTCCGCTTGGAGCAGGCGAATGACTCCGCATGGAGCCGGCAAATGACTCCGCATGGAGCCGGCAAATGACTCCGCATGGAGCCGGCAAATGACTCCGCATGGAGCAGGCGAATGACTCCGCATGGAGCCGGCAAATGACTCCGCATGGAGCCGGCGAATGACTCCGCATGGAGCCGGCGAATGACTCCGCATGGAGCCGGCAATTGACTCCGCATGGAGCCAGCGAATGACTCCGCATGGAGCCGCCGAATTACTCCGCATGGAGCTGCCAATTACTCCGCATGGAGCCGCCGAATGACTCCGCATGGAGCCGCCAATGCCTCCGCATGGAGCCGCCAATGACTCTGAATAGAGCCGCCAAATGCTAGATATATAGAGATGCATAACCAGTTGAGAGCATATATTCTCATGGACTATACAGATACCGTCATGTGTGCGCCAGAAACATGAGTTGAGCTAGTGGGTGGGAGGGTGGGAAGGAAATTGTTTCGGGAACACCTGTTCCGCAAGTTGCACGCTCGAAAGTCCAAACAGCAATGACATGAAAGAGACATTGTACAGGATATTGAAGGGCGCGTGCCCACGTGACTCGCGCATGCGTGCAGGTTGGGCCAGCTCGCTGGGCTGGCTGCTAACTCGCGTTAGCATGCTAACGCTCATTTAGCATCCCCCCACCTCACAACAGAGCAACCGAGTTTTGCATTAAGCTGGGAGTGCCGATTCGAGCAACTGGTATAATGGCTCGCAGCTGAGCCAGCAAATGACTCCGCTTGGAGCAGGCGAATGACTCCGCATGGAGCCGGCAAATGACTCCGCATGGAGCCGGCAAATGACTCCGCATGGAGCCGGCAAATGACTCCGCATGGAGCAGGCGAATGACTCCGCATGGAGCCGGCAAATGACTCCGCATGGAGCCGGCGAATGACTCCGCATGGAGCCGGCGAATGACTCCGCATGGAGCCGGCAATTGACTCCGCATGGAGCCGCCGAATTACTCCGCATGGAGCTGCCAATTACTCCGCATGGAGCCGCCGAATGACTCCGCATGGAGCCGCCAATGCCTCCGCATGGAGCCGCCAATGACTCTGAATAGAGCCGCCAAATGCTAGATATATAGAGATACATAACCAGTTGAGAGCATATATTCCATAAATCGGCACTCCCAGAGCGGATCACAAAGTGCAGCTACCTGTGATATTTGTAAGCAGTGCAAGCTCGGTAACGATTGACTAACAGGAACTCGATATCATGGGCTGAGGCCATTGCCACAGCCACCCATGCTTTGGCTGCTGGTGGCCTCTGAATGTTACTCGGGCAGACATGGCTTTCCACCTTCCCGCCTCTCTGAATATCGAGTCCGGCAGCTGATTCGAAACGAGTGGCCGGTGTATGACGCCAGGCCATAGCCACAACTGATGAGCAAGATTTTCGCAGTTGCTGCAAAGCCGATCGATTGGCATCTGCTGCTGGTGCCGCTAGCTTTTCCAGGTGCTGCCACAATTGCAAACCACTATTTGCGATTGGCTGGTCTGCTTGATTGACTGTCCATTGCCCTATCCCCGGTTGCAATTGTTTGCGCACCAGCCAAGTGCACCACTTGCATCAGTGAATAGCAGCAAGTTGGGGGACGGCGTCCACTTAGGGTGTAGGAAGAAGGACCGGCCGTTCTACTATTCCAGGAGCTAAGGCCATCAGCGAAGGTATTTGAGGCACTCTTCGGAGAGCTTGATCAGGTAATACGGCTGCCGGTACCAGTTGGCAAGTGACCACAATCTGCAATGTGCGTCCTGGGACTATCACTCTTGTAGCAAACGAGAGCTTTCCCAAAAGATACTCGAGTTGACATTGGGTAGTTGAAGCTGTGTTGAGAGTGGCCCGTAGGAGGTCGTGAAGCTTGGCAAGTTCGTCCATCGGCAGACTGATGTGAGCGCGCGGGTGTCCAGGATGACGCCGATAAACGTCAGGACGTGGGCTGGACCCTCCACTTTTGCTGATGCCAGAGAAACACCGAGGTATGTAAACGCACGGCGCCGAGTAGCGAGTTGCTGGCGAGCTAACACAGGTCCAGAGCATACATCGAGGAAGCACTTTTGCTGACGCCAGAGACACACCGAGGTATGTAAACGCACGGCGCCGAGTAGCGAGTTGCTGGCGAGCTAACACAAGTCCAGAGCATGCATGGAGACAGAAACGTTAGTCGAGGTATTTCCCGTAATGGGAAGATGCCAATAACGTCAGGAATTGAGCTGGACCCTCCACTTTTGCTGGGGCCAGAGAAACACCGAGGTATGTAAACGCTCGGAGCAGAATAGCGAGTTGCTGGCGAGGTAACACAAGTCCAGAGCATGCATTGAGGAAGTAACATTAATTGAGGTATTCCCCGTAATGCAACAGGCGTGGGAGTGCGAACTGCCCGCACACAATCCATTCACTGGCGGATGCGACAGAGTTCCATATAGCTGGCCTGGAGCGTAGTACAGTCTGAAGGGCAGGACGCTCTCATAACAGTATTGATCCTGCCAGCGGTTCAACAAGGGCCACTCCTCCGGGCAGACGGGAATTCGGCAGAATGCACTTTTAACATTGAGCTTAGCAAGATACAGCGGGGCGAGCAATTGTCTAATCATGTTTGCAGCATTGTCATCTTGACATTGTGGAGAGACACGGTCTGCTGGAATGTAATTGTTGACACTTCGACCCTCCAGGCTTTACAAAGGGTGTGTCGTGTGTAACTTCCCGTTCGTCTAGGAACCGCATCTACGCCGGAACAGCACAGAGGCGAGAAAGGGGGTGAAGAACACGGGCCAGCTGTTTCAAGCCTGCTGCAAGAAACGGATCGGCCAGCTGTTTCAAGCCTGCTGCAAGAAACGGATCGTTGCGCAGAAATATAATCTGGGTTAGCATGTGACCGTGTTAAATTCAATGGATCCCAGTTAGTTGAGTGGTTGCCGATGAAACCTACCACAACCCCACAATTACGACCATGTGCAACATACCTCCGGAGCATAGGATCAGGATGTGAGTCCAGTAATTTTGAGAAGTGAGAAACTGAGTGCTTACACAGTTACTGATGAGGCCTTACACTTTGCCCTGGGATGCTCCTGTCGGCACTGGAGGTAGCACTGCCTGAGCTGACGCGTGCAAGCGCCGTACTCGTAGTAGCGGCATACGGTTGCGGTACGTGATGCGGATCTGTACTGGTGAGTAGGACGAAATGCGCACGGAAATGCTGGCGAGTGCACTGAGCTGCACTGCTGGCAGGCGGGTCGTGCTGTTCCAGTACACCGCGAGGCGCAGTTGCCACAAGTTGATATTGATAACCTGGCTTTGGAGATTTATTTTTTTTCCATTGCTATCAGGTTCGGCTTAATTCCCTCTGTGCTGCGCTGATGAGTCCACAAAGGACGAAACAGTTGTCCGCAGATTGAGTATTGATAACGTCCAGTTTCTAGGTGGCAAAAGCTGGCGATTGGCCGCGACGATCGTGGCCGAATACGTCCACAGGCGCTCGTGAAACGCGGTGAGGAACAGTGGAACACAGACCATTCATGAACACTGTCCAGGTCTCAACTCAAGTGCTACCGTCATGCAGCCTACGAAGCGCAGTTCTGGGTTCGGATTCAAATAAATGCTAGTGCGCCAGAAGAGCAACATATGAGGGGCTACGGAGTTGGAACGTCGCCGGAGCTGGACTGACTGCAACTGTATCGGGCAGCAGGAAATCGAAGTCCACGAACTCGCCTCTCTGGACGCGATCGAGAAGGGCCCGTATAGGACAGTCAGGTTCACCTGCTGTTGGTGCTGCATGCGCATATGGCGGTCGTCACTGCACCGGGCTCCCAGTAGGGTCCGGCCTGCTGGCGGCGAGCGGCAATACGGATCCAAGTAGAGCGAGGAGAAGCTGGGTGGCGTTGGTGACGGCAGTGGACAACTCCCGTTGTTACTTCCAACAGAAAATCAAAGTCCACGAACTCGCCTCTCTGGATACGAATTACGATTGGTGGTGTTGCGTGGCGGCCGTCGCTGCGTTCGCAGTAGGCGGGCGGCGGAGCCAGGTAGAGCGAGGCGATCCGGAGAGGCTGGACGCCGGTTGGTGACGACGACATTGCTTCAAGGCACAAACAAGGGTCGCTGAGATCGCGTGGAGGTACTTCATTTCAGGAAACCTGATGATGGCGCAAGCTAAAAAAAAACCACAGTCGACGTTCCACTGTAGACGACGACATTGTTTCAGGCACCAACAGGCACCAACAGGCGTCAATGAAGTCTGAATTGAAACGCAGAGATACGAGAATGCAAGCTTGAAAGTCTAACGAAAGGAAATTGTTTCGGGAACACCTGTTCCGCAAGTTGCACGCTCGAAAGTCCAAACAGCAATGACATGAAAGAGACATTGTACAGGATATTGAAGGGCGCGTGCCCACGTGACTCGCGCATGCGTGCAGGTTGGGCCAGCTCGCTGGGCTGGCTGCTAACTCGCGTTAGCATGCTAACGCTCATTTATTATTATTATTTTAATATGGCAATAAGTAGGACGAGCTGAAGCGACATGTGGACTACTTTATTAACAATGTAAGCGATGGAGACGATGCAAGAAACAACCTAAAGGGTAAGGAAAAATACATGTAAGAAGAAAAAGGGGCAATGGAAAAAAAAAGATGATTCGAACAAGTTTTCGTACAACACTCTTCAGGAATCACCGTTGTACTAAAGAACAAAATGAGAACAAAGGAAATAATATAGCAATCAAGGTAGGGTGACACGATACAATGACAGCACTAGAATATCGAGGTGCGATTTCTCACAAAAGTGTGCAGAAAACAAGGGTATACAAGTAAGAACTAAGCGTGACAAGTGTGTATCAGCAACAAAAACAAAAAAGTGAGAACGAATGATAATAATAACAATAATAAACAAGAAGGTGACAAAACACATTTAGGCACAAGTGGCAACAACGTTGCCACACTACACAACAAAACATTATTTGAACAATTTTAGGGTAATAACACTATCTTTCTGGACACACAAATTCGGCTTATGAATGCGCTGACAAACAGCTTCCAAAACTTGTAACTGCAAAAGATAACCATGACGAGCACGGCACAAAACAGAAAAACAGGAATCAGAATAAGTACGACAACAGTCAGTACTAGAAACCAAATGATTGTATACTGAAGACTTGTTATTACGAGACGGACGCACACAATCTCGACTCACGCGCACACCCTCACACTCACTCTCACCCTCACTCAGCTCACCTTCTCCCTCACTGTCCGAATCAGAACCTGCTCCATCATCCACCGCGGTTTGACTCTCCTCCTCACTTGCATCGTCCTGCGTCTCACCTTCACCACCCACGCCAACCCTGAATGCCGTTGCCTTCACGTCAGTCGTCGTCCTTTCCGATTGTTTCCTTTGTATTTTTACCGTGAATTCATAGGTCCGGTTGTAATCTGCTGTAGATCTCCGTGGTCTGTCATTTGCTGCTTTGTTTTGTGCACTCCACTTCACATCCTTCCACCCAGTGCGCAATCTGAGAGGCCCAAACGCGGGAGGCCTAGGAAAAACCCATCACCTAGACGGCAGGATAGTTCCCTGCCGCTGTCTGCCGCTCCCCCTCTGACATCTGTGTTGGACGGGCTGGAGCTTGGCAGCTCTTTGGAGGTGCGTGCGGAACCGCCACTGGTGCAGCCCTCGGGTGTGCCTAAGTCTGTGCCTCTGGGTGCTTTGCATGGGGCGGTGCCTCGAGTGGTGACAGCACCTCTGCCTCCCCCTGACCCTCCTCCTTCGAGGTCTGTGTTGGTGGGGAGCACCCGCGGCGGTCGATTTGTCCCACCGGAACCAGAGCTGGATCCAACAGAAAGACCAACAACCATGGCTGCAACAACAACACCAGCTGCACATCCAACAACAACACCAGGTTCACATCCAACAACAACAACAACTAATCCACAAAACAAAGCAGCAAATGACAGACCACGGAGATCTACAGCAGATTACAACCGGACCTATGAATTCACGGTAAAAATACAAAGGAAACAATCGGAAAGGACGACGACTGACGTGAAGGCAACGGCATTCAGGGTTGGCGTGGGTGGTGAAGGTGAGACGCAGGACGATGCAAGTGAGGAGGAGAGTCAAACCGCGGTGGATGATGGAGCAGGTTCTGATTCGGACAGTGAGGGAGAAGGTGAGCTGAGTGAGGGTGAGAGTGAGTGTGAGGGTGTGCGCGTGAGTCGAGATTGTGTGCGTCCGTCTCGTAATAACAAGTCTTCAGTATACAATCATTTGGTTTCTAGTACTGACTGTTGTCGTACTTATTCTGATTCCTGTTTTTCTGTTTTGTGCCGTGCTCGTCATGGTTATCTTTTGCAGTTACAAGTTTTGGAAGCTGTTTGTCAGCGCATTCATAAGCCGAATTTGTGTGTCCAGAAAGATAGTGTTATTACCCTAAAATTGTTCAAATAATGTTTTGTTGTGTAGTGTGGCAACGTTGTTGCCACTTGTGCCTAAATGTGTTTTGTCACCTTCTTGTTTATTATTGTTATTATTATCATTCGTTCTCACTTTTTTGTTTTTGTTGCTGATACACACTTGTCACGCTTAGTTCTTACTTGTATACCCTTGTTTTCTGCACACTTTTGTGAGAAATCGCACCTCGATATTCTAGTGCTGTCATTGTATCGTGTCACCCTACCTTGATTGCTATATTATTTCCTTTGTTCTCATTTTGTTCTTTAGTACAACGGTGATTCCTGAAGAGTGTTGTACGAAAACTTGTTCGAATCATCTTTTTTTTTTCCATTGCCCCTTTTTCTTCTTACATGTATTTTTCCTTACCCTTTAGGTTGTTTCTTGCATCGTCTCCATCGCTTACATTGTTAATAAAGTAGTCCACATGTCGCTTCAGCTCGTCCTACTTATTGCCATATTAAAATTATTGTCTCCTCGTCGAATTTTTAAATTATTATTATTATTATTATTATTATTATGCACTTACGCGTCAATGTCAGCGGTGGTAAACCGCCCACAAATTCGCACGTGCTGAATGGACTTGGGAATTGGGAAATGAAAAAATAAAAATAAAAAGAGCAACGACAACACAAGACGTACCTGCTAAGGGGCACATGACAGCATTGCTCAGATTGAACAGAGGACGCAGACACAGGATAAAGGGCATTGTCGACTCCGTTTTGAGAATAATCCAGTAAAATGGTGGCAGGTGGATGCAGATCCACGCACTACGTTAAGAGAGGAATTTTGTTGGTATTTAAAAAAGATGTTAATTATTATTACCGCAGCAGTTATGAAAAGCAGTACTGTGATATTTCGGAGCAATATTATTTGGTTTTAGGCATAGACGCCACTATTGGACTTGCAGACGTCCTTGCAAAGGTCCTTCCACTCCCCTCTGCCCTGTGCAATCTCCCGGAGGGAGAGGAGATCAGACAACGTCTTGAGTCCCCTCCGCCCCACTCCAATGGATCACCCTGTCTTTAAAAGACCAGTTATGTTAGTCCGTAACTGTTAACCATGGGTCAACATGGTCTTTGGCATATAATACATGTATGTTCATTAACTGGCTGTAGGGTGATGGTACTCCAGCAGCAAGCATGCCAGACAGATCTGCAACCAGTAAGCGGTTTGGGCTGGGCAAGAAACTGCGGAAAGAGAAGAGAAATCCCACCCAAGCTGAATAGGACAAACTATCTCAATCACGATCAGTCTCCATGGTTAGTAGTAGCTAAGGGTTGTCTATGTCTTTGATTTAAATGTACATGTGTATGTGCATGCACTGTATTTAGGCTCAAGCTACTGCGGCTGAAAGTACACTTGCTTCAGACGCTAGAAGACCATGCAATGTCTTACCTGCCATGCCAACACCAAGACAGATAGCAAACATCAAGAAAACCCGAAAGGTAGGAGGGCTTTGCTCTTCATTATTAGATTGAGCATACCGCTCTGCAAAATTCATAATAGTGTATTGAGCAATGACATAGGAGGGAAAAATACAAAATCATAATTTACCTACAAAAAAAGGTATCGTCCTCCAAGGCTAAGGCTGCGTTTACACGACAACGATTGAAAACGATTTGCGTTTACACGACAACGAAGTAGGACCTAAACGGAACGAAATCGTTGCGTTTACTACTATCGTTTACACGACAACGCCCGAAAACGATACCTAAACGGAACGAAATGTAAACGCACTTCAAAGTGTTTTGAAACGTTTTCAAAACGTTTTCAAAATGTTTTCGTTCTCGTGTAAACGGTGAAAACAGTGAAAACGATTGGAAACGGAGCGCGGTCATGGAAACTATTCCGCGCGGGACTATATTTCGCGGGAAATACCTGACCTTTGCGACCACCAGCACGTACCAACGCCAACTAACGTGTTACTTCCCGCCCTTCCGCCAAGCCAGCACGTGCTAACTCCAGCCTGATCGCCCATTTTCCGTTTTCGTGTGAACAGTTCAAAACGATTTGCCGTTCTCGTGTAAACGGTTTGAAAACGATTCGAGGCCAGCCCGTTTTCGTTCCGTTTCGTTCCGTTTCGTTTCGTTTCGTCTCCGTGTAAACGCAGCCTAAGATTTCCAGGGTGCAAAGATTCATGTAGCTGGGCAGCAAATCTATTTCCTCTGTGCTTTGCAAGCAAATGGTCGTGGCCTTTAACTCTGGGTGTTCAGGTTTGTGATGGTGTCAGCGAATTGTGAAGAGGCAACAACCACCTATTTCATAGCTGAAATTCACCAAGTTGTCTATAAAACTGCTTTTAATGTGTTCAGGAATGCATGTTTTTTGTGCTTGTGTGTATGTGTACATGTGTACGTGAACGTACGGACGTGCGTGTTGTTTTGCTGGTGCGTGGTGTATTGAATCATGCAGTGGAAGAAGTTGGTGGTACGGAGGCACGACAAACGCGTTAGACTGGCCGTTAACAGTGACAAGCTGGTTGCCGTGTGGTACAATGGTGGACAAGTCTCCAAGATCGAGCAGACATCAGACATGCAAACGTGGCATCGCATCGACCCACCTTCCAGATATGGTAAGATTTCTGAACCATCACTGGCGAGCCACGGTGGTAAGCTGTACATGCACTGCAAGGTGCACAGCAGTGGAAGCGACGCTAGATACGCCATTCTGCTGTATGGTGCAACAGAACACGGCCATGCTAGTTGTCAGTGGATGGAGCTGTTGGAGGTGCCCTACTGCAACCATGGTTGGTGTGTCATGCATGTATGTCATGATCTTATTTCTTTACTTGGTGGCTGGTATCGCGGAAACAGCCACATTCTTGTTAGCACCTACTCTCTTCTTAACAAGCAATGGAGCTCCTCTGATCAATTTTCTGTGTCTGAGCCAATGCTTTTGCTACCCCAATCATGCTACGTTGCATCGCTTGTGAAACTCACCAATGCTATGTTTATCATTGGCGGTGGTGATGCTTGCTATTTAAAGTTCCATGATGGTGGATGGATTGCCTGCAATCCACCATATGGTGTTAAGCTGGCTGAGTCTGCTGCATGCGCACTGTCTGATCATAGCATGGTGATCTGCCAGAAGGCTGGATCTGGCACAGATCGGTGTGTTGTACACGATACCCTATCCGGTCAGGTCTATCCGCTGCCGGATTCCCCTATGAGCGTGTACACGCCATCTCTCACACTGTTCAACGGTACTCTGGTTCTGAGTGAGGGTGATGGCACTGCTACTCCTGCTCATATCTACACATTAGATGTGAGTGTATGACTAGCTCACTGAGCCACGCAAGCCCCGTTACCATGGTCACTGACAGGAATAATTTGCACTCAGCATAAAATCGGTGTGCTTATTTCTTCAGATGAAAAAGTGATTACTTTTTTCCTCGTTTTATGGAGATATACATGTATGCTTAGCTCACGATCTGAGTAGTAGTAGTAGTAGTAGTAGTAGTAGTAGTAGTAGTAGTAGTAGTAGTAGTAGTAGTAGTAGTAGTAGAATTTATTATTTTGATGAGTTCGTGTACATGTATGCTTGGCTCACCATCTGAGTTCGTGTATGTGCGATTTCTGATGTATTCAAGTTTTCTCGCGATTTTTTTACATCCCCGGCGGCCATTCGTCCCATGCCTTTACGTACATTTCATACAGTAATTATTGAATGCGTTTCTGTGATGTTCTGCCCGTGCACTAGTTCCTGTACAGTATTGGTTGATCGGAACTGCACTGTCGCATTGATATATCCATTATGAAGTATTATCTACCTACTGCTGGTTTACGATTTCGCTGCAATGGAAATGTACATTGGTAGATGGGAGGATAAGTCTGTACCTGTCTCGTGTTCGGTTGCATGTTGAATGATTTGCTGGTTTCGCGTAAAGACACGGATGGTGTTTGTAGATGCACATGGTTGTCACGTGACAGCCCTTGTTTTCATGCCTGTAATCCGTCTTAGGGTTTATCGGGTGTTAGCGGCCGTCGTGAGTTCCCTTCGGGAACGGATACGATAATTTACTTTTTTTTTACTTAATCCGTCTTCTGAAGATCAAATGACGTCACTGACCATTTTCGCAGCTGGCTAAAAGGTCACAGCTGACTTTTAAAAGAAGATGAAGGGGATGAAACTCGAAGAACGAAAAATTTGGAGATTCATTTATTGTACTTCAAGTGACCTGGGCAAATGTGGGCACAAGTTATGCGATAGAATCCACTAACTAAACCAGATGTTGAAAACAGTCAGACGTGCGTTTTGTGCTAGATTGTGCACGTCTGACCGTTCAGAATCTGGTTTAGTTGGTGGACTCGATGGCATAACTTGTGCCCACTTTTTCCATGTTATAATATTTTCCTCGGCTCACCATCTGAATTCATTTACTCGAGTAGCTTTTCACTTGGATCGCATTGCTTCATCTAACCAAGCTGTAAACTGTGGCACCTGGCTGTAGAGAAAAGCTGTCCCAAAGACTCTAGCACATATTGGATGCGCACTCCAACTGATAGCCAGTTAGTTGTAAAACGCCAGTACTATCGGTCAGTGTCGTGCAATGTTATCGTATGACTCTCACTTTGCTGGAACCGTAATCCAACGATCTACAGGATCCACTGTAGAGATATTAACTGTCCGTATCCGTCTTGCTACCAAGCCACGTGCAACAGACATTAGTGTGTCCACCTTGTATCGCCCGCCGTCTGCCACAGTGAATTTCTGGGACCAGTTGAGCTCTGAACTTGATTTAGCCCTTCAAACTCCGAATGCATTAATCCTAGGCGACTTCAATACTGATGTCCTCCAGCCAACGACTCCAGGATATCGCCATCTACAGCGTGTCTGTGCGGAGCATCACCTCAGAAATGTTATCACTGAACCCACTCGTTTAGCACGCACCTGCCTAGATCTTGCTCTGGTTACAGACGGCTCCCCTGTAGTCAAGGCGGAAGTAGTCTCAATGAACGGTGTTAGTGATCACGATCTCATCATTGTCCAATGTGCCTATCAAAACCTTGAGCCCATTCCTGCGCACACTCACAGGCTGATTCGGAAGCCTGCACCCCATTCTATGGATTTTGACCAATGTGGCCAGGAAATCAGTGAAAGTTTCAGAACTTCGGAGTCGCCCACCAGCCTGGACGGTCAAGTGAAGCAATTTTCCAAGTGTTTGAGCCATGTTCTGGACAGAAATGCCCCGATCACTCAGCTCAAGGTGTCTGGATTTGGCAGGCCTCGTCGGCAACCATGGGTTACGCCACACTTGAAAAAGCTTCTTCAGCTTCGAATAAACTTGCACAGGAAATTACGAAGGAACCCAACCGACGGCCCCCTCCTCCAGCAGTACCGGGCAGCACGGCGCGAGGGAACCCTCTTGAATAAGAAACTCAAAACAGAATACTGCATGAAGGCATTCAACACCCACAAACGGAACCCCAGAGCCCAGTGGCAAATCCTGAACAAGCTTGCAGGACGAGAAAAAGTCAAATCACTACCTAAGGCGACTATATCCGACCTGACAGCCACATTTGCAACCGTAGTTTGTGATCCTGCAAGACCGTCTCAACTTGTTCTACCCAGCCCACCAGTCGACATTCACACTCTCGACGAGTTTACGCCAGTCACAGTAGAGTATGTTGAAGATGTCTTGAAGTCATTGAACAGCCACAAAGCACAAGGTTCCGATGAAATACCACCATGTCTCCTCAAAGGATGCCGCACAGACATCGCTGGCCCACTCACCGCTATCATCAATAAGTCTCTGCATACAGGCCAAGTTCCAAGTAGTTTTAAGCATGCCCACGTGTGCCCACTCTACAAAGCTGGCGACGCAACTATTGGCTCCAACTACCGACCAGTGTCACTTTTGCCAGTGATATCCAAAGTGCTTGAGAAGGTAGTACACCGACAACTTGTAGCATTCTTCGACAATCATCCGGAACTCGGTGCACTACCGGAGGAGCAGTTTGCTTACAGGCGCAATCACAGCTGTGAAGACCTTTTGGCGTATGGAATAAACGACTGGCAGTTGGCCTTGGACAAGAAGCAGCTGTGTGGAGCCATGTTTGTGGACATGAGCAAGGCCTTCGACCGCGTTCAGCATAGCAAGCTCGTGCAGGAACTGGCTTCAGTTGGCGTCGGAGGTGTGGCATTGCGTTGGTTCGCAGACTACCTTACTGGGAGAACCCAGCAGGTCGTTGTCGGCGATGCGCGAGGCAGTACAGAGCCCTGCTCACGTGGTGTACCACAAGGCTCCGTGTTAGGCCCCTTACTTTTCTGCATTTATATCCGGCGTACCCCCCAGAAATTTCAACATTGCCGTGCTCTCCTGTTTGCGGACGACATCGCGTTCTACGTCATTGGTCGCAAGGCTTCAACCGTGCTCAGAATGCTGCAGACAGATCTCTTGAATCTGGAGGACTTCCTCAGCGAGCGGGGACTGGTGCTGAATCCCAAAAAGTCTCAGCTACTGCTGCTCAGACGACCTACTGCGCAACTGGACGTGATCCCCAGCATCACCTGCAAAGGCACCGTAATCCCCGAGTCCAGCCATGTTCTGTACCTTGGCCTCCTATTGGACTCGTCGCTCAGCTTCGAGCAGCAGGTTGAGCGTGTGTGCGCAAAGGCACAGTGCAAGGTTGCCTCATTCCGCCACGGGCGCCGCGATGTCTCCATGACCGGCCGCCGCATGTTTTACCTGACAATTGTCCAGAGTACCTTGGACTATGCCAGCACATGTTATGTTCACTGCTTGTCTGCTAAACTCAGAGACAAACTTGAGTCAACCAGCAATAGGTGCCTAAGGCGAGTGTTTGGCCATGATCAGTATACTTCTATCGATTTCATTCTCACCAAATATAACCTGTATACTTTCTCTCGCCGTGTAAACTTGAAGCTGTTTGTGTTTGTTTTTAGGTGTCTATCTCATTGCACCAGTCCTCTTTTAAGCACGATATTTACCCCCCGCTCTGCATCATGCCGCACAAATGCTGCTACCCGCGGTCAAGCTTCAGCCGCTCTGAACCTACCCAGAGCTACGTCTCGTTACGGCCTGAATGCTATTTCATTTTTGGCAGCAGACAGATGGAACATGCTTCCACCTGGATGTCGTCAAGCTAAGCCCCTTTCTGCATTTGTCACAAGCACCAAGTCATTCCTAGGGTTCCCAGTAAAAGCCAACGCCTGTTGGGAGTTCCCTAGTAAAATAATAAATTCTACTACTACTACTACTACTACTATGAGATGATTGTTTAGTAACTGGTTGTGTTAGTGGACAATATAGCGCAACTTGTAGTTCCTTGGTGCTTATTTTACACGTTGCCGAAGAATAAAACACTTGTTGGTCAGCAAGAAAGGAATAAAAAAAAGGAGAACTAGAGCCAAAAGTGTGTGAGAAGTAGCAGAAGATAACCGAGGATGTCTGAGAAAACCAGCAGAACTGGGCCATCTCTCCGATTTCACTCAAATGTTGCAAGTAGGTTTCCGTCGGGGTCTAGAATAGCCATGCAAAAGTATTTGTGGCACAACTGACAGGCACCTTGGAACTGGGGATCACCTCGAAATGGGCCCAAAATACGAGTCGACTAAATGTTGGGACCAAAAGCGAGCGATGGTACAGCGTACAGAACGGAACTAAGAACAAACCATCACCATGCCAACATTACCTCACCTTGGTAGTACATGTAGTCATATCATCCCCACACTGAGCCATGGCTACATCCAGGAAAGCAATGGCCACCATTTCCAGATATCACTAAATTGCATTGCTAAAATGGCCAAATTTCAAGGACCATGACTTGAAACATTTACGGCGTCTATTTTCACGGCAAGAAAGTGGACTATCTGCGCTAACGCCCAGCATATGTCTTGTAAAACACTTACCACGTTTTCTGGAATTAAACAAATTTATTTGTTTCTCTTCACCACATTGATACATGGCGAATTTCCAACCGACGAGGGAAAGCGCCTCGTAAAGCTCTTTGCCATTAATAGTTATATTACCCTCTTGATGGGCGAAGCCCGAAAATTTGGTGTAATGTTCTTGATTTTATCACAGTAAAGAGTAAAGAGACGGCTATTGCAGTTGAAGTTTTATAAAATTAATGTATATTAAAAGTTTAACTCGGATACGTGTTAGGGCTAGGCCTCGGGTCGTTGAATGTCTCAGTAGCCTGTCAGTTGTTGTGCCCTGTTTTCGCACTTTCTGACTACTTATTATCTTGTTACAGTCGTGAATAGTTGCTTCATAACTTGTTTCCACATGATTTCTTCTTTTGTATTATATTAAAAGTGGTTGGAGTTTTGAAGACAATAAAAAATATTTTCAGATGCTTTTTTATGGCCAGAACAAATACATACAATTAATCAATGCAATGCAAACAGCCAGTATTATTGGGTTAAGTTTTACAGGTGAATCCAAGACAAACTCTCAACCTAACTACCGTACTGGCAATATAGTTATGTTGCCGCGTAACGCGGCGTAATGCGCGACCAGGCTACAGTCAGTTTCAAAAAGATTAGCAATCCTGGCGATCGCCCGCGGAGTTTGCCGTCTTACCGTATGCGCGCTCGAGAGCTGGCTGGAAAAACTCACTGTGAACTCGAAGAAATAATCCGCGCGAAAGCATGAAAAATGACAACTCACTCACGTCAGTACATGTACGTCTGGTTTACAACAAACGAGTTCTTCCTCGTATCGATATGGAGTCAGAGAGGACATGTCGAACGTGTGGTAAATGTTGACGAGCGGGATGGGTCCCAATTCGTTTCGTGCCCAATTTCTTTGAGCTGCGATGCAATTTACTCTCACGATGTGACGAAAACGATATCGACACAGACTCATTCCCAACGCCATGACTTGGCAAAGCTATCCGTGTGACTTCGACGACATTTTGAGAAAAGCAGACGCCTGTGAAAGCTGATAGAAGACGGCGTTGACTGCTAAATTCAAATAAATTGGCGATCTTGAAATACTAAAATAATTCTCAAAGAGAAATCGATCAATCGATGTGCCGTTGTATTCAACAACACGTAGCTACAGCGCAATGACTTCCGTGTTCACTCACACCATTTCAGTGTTGTGGGTGTGTTCACATGGCGTGAACCAGTCAAGTGTCCGACAGTAAGTATTAGTTCGGCAGGAAACGCGAGCTCCAACAACAAGTCGTTTGGGCAGCCACCTTCTTCTTTGGCTTGTACTTTTTGTACCAGCGTGATCACCAAAACAATGCAAAAAAAGTTTGACTTGAAGATAGTTTGGGATTTGAACTCACAACTTCATGGTCAGCAGACAGCATTCATAACCACAAGGCCAAAAAGGAAAGGATAAATCGTGGGTTTTGATAAAAAATCGATACTGACATCCAGGGCAAATCGTAAACCAAGGGAAAAGGCCGGAAACCTGGCCGAAATTCTAACTCCTTAACGGCTGGTCCAATTGTTCCGAAACCTCCACAGAACAATTTGCCATGTCCTAACAAGCCATTCTATGTACTTTGTTGTCCAAATTTCCCTTATCTTCATACTTTTTAAGACCAAAACCTGATTGCTAATCTTTTTGAAATGGACTATAGTCTATAGTGCGACAAATTTCCGTTGCGTTCGTAACGCGCGTCCGGCGGGGTGCGGAGATCTTTTCATTGCAAAAAAGGCTGAAAACTGTGAAAGCACGTGTACCGCGTGGTAAAAAGTTCAAAACTGGACGCAGCAGGAAGTCCTGCAATAGCAAAAAAAGGACTGCGGCAATATAGAAACCTGTGTAACGGCTCCTGTGCGACTTTGCATGTAACGCCCTGCGTGCGGTAAAGATGTGCCAATGTAACGCTTCATGGCCTCACTGCGACCATATATATTGCCAGTACGGTATTGACAAGTTCAACATCAGCAGGCCAAGACGCCGCTCCCCTACCCGTTGGATTACATCATCCGACACCCCAGGATAGGGTTTGGAATCAAGTGCCCTCACGATTCACCAATCTCTCACCTCCGCTCAAAACCGCAAAAATGGTTCAACATTGTCAACAGATACGATAATCTCAAGGATTGTTATGGGATGCTGTCATCATTAGGCCAAAACAAATAATGACCTTGTTTCCGGTCGCCCGACCGGGCCACTTTTTCCCAAATTCTGAAACTTTTTTTTGGTCCCAAATGTATACAAACGGTGCAAGTGCACTCGACGAGTCATAACTCAGTCAAATCTCAACCGAATTCCACAATCGAAACACCTACAAGGTAGCAGAGATTCTCAGCTGTCGGCTCGAAAACCTCCGGGGTCGATACGAGCTAGAATAACGGAGCTGGAAGGACTCGAACTGTTTGCTTGATTTCTCAGGATGTACGAAAACAGAAATACACCACATGCTGGACAAGAACAGTGAGTCAGTCACTTTGACATTGATCCTTGCCATGATATATGTACAATGTACATGTGTAGGTGCTCTTGTCCATCAATACCACAACGATTGAGGAACCAAAAAAAGGTATCCAAAAAAAGTTTCATTCCGGCCGACCGAGTCTCCTTTTTGAGGGGTTGCCGACCGGAAACAAGCCTATTTTTTGTTTTGGCCTTAATATTACAAGTCAAAGAGACGAAAAGAAAAAGACGCATAGCATCGGAGGTACTTCTCAGTCTAGGGTTCCCAGTAAAAGGCAACGCCTGTTGGGAGTTCCTTAGTAAAATGATAAATTCTACTGCTACTACTACTTCTCAGTTCTGCATATCTCACTATGGAGCATGGAGCAATATATCTGTCCCGGAATAAAGCCATACTACAATGGGGCACGGGTCATCAGAGGTTCCCTGCGGATATGAAATGCATAATGTTATGTGCATGTTCCGCGCCATCGCTCCATACACTGTCGGAGGAGTTTGACAAGCTAGCAGACGTTGGCATCAAATCAAGGACTTCGCAAATGTTATCCTGTCACGCATCCACGCTCAACCTCACCGCAGCTACCTCAGTACAAAGAAACCCGAGCGCATGTTCAGTGCGGCCTGTTGATTGGCGGTGAGCGGTTGCATTCTCGGTAGTGCCAGTGTGCTAGAGGGTTGGGTGGGATGTTGGGTGGGATGCACAAGTACGTGCTGTGGCGTATGCTCCGGCACATGCTGCATAGCTGGGCTGTTCGAGGCATTAGCGTTGAACACAATGGACGCCGTCCCGCTCTGGTGAAGCGGGAAAGACGCCTGCACGGGACTGGCGGCGGGTAGCACCTGTTGCTGGGTAGGAATGAAGATCAACTGGGGCTGAGACCATGCCTGTACAAGGGTTGGTTCATGGGCAGCTTGAGCATTCATACTTGGGCCCTGATGCGATGTGAGTGCGGCTTGCACAGGATGTGGGGCAACATAATGCGGACTAGCTGAAATGATCTGTTGTGGACTTGCTGAAATGATTTGCTGCGGACTTGCTGAAATGATCTGTGGTGGACTTGCCGACATAATCTGCTGCGGCGCACAGGTGATAGGATAGTGCGCCTGACTGACGGGAAGGGTGATGGGCAAAGTATCTGGTCTACTCACACTCGGTGATGATTTTATTGGCGACGAGGAAGCAACAGTACGGTGAGAATACAATGAACTATTCACCGTGGTCTGGGTTTTGGTGGTTGTTGAATCAGGAGTGGGCATGGAGGGAGCAGGAGTGAGTGCGGATGAAGCAGGAGTGAGTACGGATGATCCAGGCGTGAGCACGAATGAAGCCGCAGGGTGCTGATAATTCCCAGTCCCTGTCCACAGAGCATCACGACCAGCCACATTGCCACCATGCGTATAAGGCGAAGCAATGGATGGCGAGGCACGTGGCACATTCACTGTCGAACTCACGCCACCTGTTTTAGCGCTAGCATTGGCTCCATGGTCTTGGGATGACAGAAATGGGTTGCGATCCGCGTTCTCGACCTTAGTGTTAGCTACAGTGCTAGTGACTGGTTGAGGGTGTGTTGAAGGTGGTAGCAAGGCAGGCATGGTACTACTGCAATGGTATTGCGTAAGGCTTGCCTCGTAAGGACTTGCAGCAACTGTGGGTGTGCGAGGAGCTAATGCCTGCGCCTCGAGGAACAGCGGAGGAATTAGCGGGCTGAGTTTGTCCCTCGCACGGCGAATCTGAAACCAAGCCTGCCAGTGACACAAAGAACACACGCACACGCGAAACACAACGACACAATTTACTTCCTTCCATTTACTTCCACATGCCCGTCGCTCATGCGATAATAGCGAACAACCCTCTGCTGGTAAATGCACCATTCAGCAGATTTCAAGGCTGGTGAATTCACCACCACTCCCGGTTTACACCACACACCTACCAGAAGTCGATGCAGACCTTCAAGAAGAAGGTCTATGACCACCTGAGGCAGTCTGACTGGGACTGGGCAACCGACCGCCTTTAGCCTCCACCGGGATTATGCTCCTGCTTCTCCCACCCCAAGCCTAATTGTCGCCAATCCTGAGTAGCCAATCTCCACTGCTGCCCTATTGCACCCTTCATTTGACACTCTCCTTTCACTCCTATTATCTGTTTGATTATTTGCTTTTTTCTGCTGTGTTCCAAAATTAGATCCTCTCCTTCGTTCTAAACCTTCCATTTTCTCCCCCGCTTTTTTCCCCTCATGCTTATGCTTCCCTCCCGAATTTGGTGCGCCTGCCATGTGAAGATGCCGAGACCTCTGGTCGGTTGACCATGGCAAGCCCCACCAGCACCATCTCACCCCATGCTAGCCCCATGTGTCTGCCGGTGAGTTGTGTATTTTGTAAAAAAAAAGTTGGTTGAAATGGCTTAAAAAAAAGTTTAACAGCCCCTGCTTGGACAACCATTCCACCAAAGCCTAATATAAGAGAAATTCTGGAAATAAGGCAGGTTCCCTCGCTCGAGTCCCGGTAGTGGGTGTCGAATTTGTTAATTGTTTTCCCGTTTTGAACTCCCTCAACCGTTTGAACAAGTAATCAGGTGTTGCAGTTGCCTGGGAGACGAAACGGCGAACACATTTAGAAGCATTGGTAGGTTGAGGGAATGGAAAAGGGGAAAAGTCTGAAGACCCAACATGACTGTCACCACCAGGACTCCAACCAGGGACTTTCCCTTGAAGCCAGCAGTGCTCTAATCCCTGAGCTATAGTGAAGCTGTCATCCCTGCAGAAATTGTTCAACCTTTTCTTCACACTTAATACTGGAACACATTTCAGGTGCTTCAATGGGACCATTGTGAGTTTCGTCCACGAAGAGACGGGTGATGGTGACGGTTAATGGCTGGGTTGATGTTATCACAGTAAAGACTAAAGGAGACGGCTATTGCAGTTGAGGTTTTATAAATGTATATTAAAAGTTTAACTCGGATACGTGTTAGGGCTAGGCCTCGGGTCGTTGAATGTCTCAGTAGCCTGTCAGTTGTTGTGCCCTGTTTTCGCACTTTCTGACTACTTTTATCTTGTTACAGTCGTGGATAGTTGCTTTATAACTTACTTGTTTCCATGTGATTTCTTCTATTTGTATTATATTAAAAGTGGTTGGAGTTTTGAAGACAATAAAAAATATTTTCAGATGCCTTTTTTACGGCCAGAACAAATACATACAATGAATCAATGCAATGCAAACAGCCAGTATTATTGGGTTAAGTTTTGCAGGTGAATCCAAGACAAACTCTCAACCTAAATATTGACTAGTTCAACATCAGCAGGCCAAGACGCCGCTCCCCTACCCGTTGGATTACATCATCTGACACCCCAGGATAGGATTTGGAATCAAGTGCCCTCACGATCCACCAATCTCTCACCTCCGCTCAAAACCGCAAAAATGGTTCAACATTGTCAACAGATACGATAATCTCAAGGATTGTTATGGGATGCTGTCATCATTAATATCACAAGTCAAAGAGACGAAAGAACGCATGGCATCGGAGGTACTTCTCAGTCTAGGGTTCCCAGTAAAAAGGCAACGCCTGTTGGGAGTTCCCTAGTAAAATGATAAATTCTACTACTACTACTACTTCTCAGTTCTGCATATCTCACTATGGAGTATGGAGCAATATATCTGTCCCGGAATAAAACCATACTACAATGGGGCACGGGTCATCAGAGGTTACCTGCGGATATGAAATGCATGATGTTATGTGCATGTTCCGCGCCATCGCTTCATACACTGTCGGAGGAGTTTGACAAGCTAGCAGACATTGGCATCAAATCAAGGACTTTGCAAATGTTATCCTGTCACGCATCCACGCTCAACCTCACCGCAGCTACCTCAGTACAAAGAAACCCGAGCGCATGTTCAGTGCTGCCTGTTGATTGGCGGGGAGCGGTTGCATTCTCGGTAGTGCTAGTGTGCTAGAGGGTTGGGTGGGATGTTGGGTGGGATGCACAAGTACGTGCTGTGGCGTATGCTCCGGCACATGCTGCATAGCTGGGCTGTTCGAGGCATTAGTGTTGAACACAATGGACCCCGTCGCGCTCTGGTGAAGCGGGAAAGACGCCGGCACAGGACTGGCGGCGGGCAGCACCTGTTGCTGTGTTGGAATGAAGATCAACTGCGGCTGAGACCATGCCTGTACAAGGGTTGGTTCATGGGCAGCTTGAGCATTCATACTTGGGCCCTGATGCGATGTGAGTGTGGCTTGCACAGGATGTGGGGCAACATAATGCGGACTTGCTGAAATGATCTGTTGTGGACTTGCTGGAATGATTTGCTGCGGACTTGCTGAAATGATCTGTGGTGGACTTGCCGACATAATCTGCTGCGGCGCACAGGTGATAGGATAGTGCGCCTGACTGACGGGAAGGGTGATGGGCAACGTATCCGGTCTACTCACACTCGGTGATGATTTTATTGGCGACGAGGAAGCAACAGTTCGGTGAGAATACAATGAACTATTCACCGTGGTCTGGGTTTTGGTGGTTGTTGAATCAGGAGTGGGCATGGAGGGAGCAGGAGGGAGTGCGGATGAAGCAGGAGTTAGTACGGATGATCCAGGCGTGAGCACGAATGAAGCCGCAGGGTGCTGATAATTCCCAGTCCCTGTCCACAGAGCATCACGACCAGCCACATTGCCACCATGCGTATAAGGCGAAGCAATGGACGGCGAGGCACGTGGCACATTCACTGTCGAACTCACGCCACCTGTTTTAGCGCTGGCATTGGCTCCATGGTCTTGGGATGACAGAAATGGGTTGCGATCCGCGTTCTCGACCTTAGTGTTAGCTACAGTGCTAGTGACTGCTTGGGGGTGTGTTGAAGGTGGTAGCAAGGCAGGCATGGTACTACTGCAATGGTATTGCGTAAGGCTTGCCTCATAAGGACTTGCAGCAACTGTGGGGGTGCGAGGAGCTAATGCCTGCGCCTCGAGGAACAGCGGAGGAATTAGCGGGCTGGGTTTGTCCCTCGCACGGCGATTCTGAAACCAAACCTGCCAGTGACACAAAGAACACACGCACACGCGAAACACAACGACACAATTTACTTCCTTCCATTTACTTCCACATGCCCATCGCTCATGCGATAATAGCGAACAACCCTCTGCTGGTAAATGCACCATTCAACAGCTGTCAAGGCTGGTGAATTCACCACCACTCCCGGTTTACACCACACACCTCCCAGAAGTCGATGCAGACCTTCAAGAAGAAGGTCTATGACCACCTGAGGCAGTGAGACTGGGCAACCGACCGCCTTTAGCCTCCACCGGGATTATGCTCCTGCTTCTCCCACCCCAAGCCTAATTGTCGCCAATCCTGAGTAGCCAATCTCCACTGCTGCCCTATTGCACCCCTCATTTGACACTCTCCTTTCACTCCTATTATCTGTTTGATTATTTGCTATTTTCTGCTGTGTTCCAAAATTAGATCCTCTCCTTCGTTCTAAACCTTCCATTTTCTCCCCCGCTTTTTTCCCCTCATGCTTATGCTTCCCTCCCGAATTTGGTGCGCCTGCCATGTGAAGATGCCGAGACCTCTGGTCGGTTGACCATGGCAAGCCCCACCAGCACCATCTCACTCCATGCTAGCCCCATGTGCCTGCCGGTGAGTTGCGTATTTTGTAAAAAAAAAGTTGGTTGAAATGGCTTGAAAAAAAAGAAAAAAAGTTGAACAGCCCGTGCTTGGATAACCACTCCACCATAGCCTAACATAAGAGGAATTCTGGAAATAAGGCAAATAAGGCAGGTTCCCTCGCTCGAGATAAGGCAGGTTCCCTCGCTCGAGATAAGGCAGGTTCCCTCGCTCGAGATAAGGCAGGTTCCCTCGCTCGAGATAAGGCAGGTTCCCTCGCTCGAGATAAGGCAGGTTCCCTCGCTCGAGATGAGGCAGGTTCCCTCGCTCGAGATAAGGCAGGTTCCCTCGCTCGAGATAAGGCAGGTTCCCTCGCTCGAGATAAGGCAGGTTCCCTCACTCGAGATAAGGCAGGTTCCCTCGCTCGAGATAAGGCAGGTTCCCTCGCTCGAGATAAGGCAGGTTCCCTCGCTCGAGATAAGGCAGGTTCCCTCGCTCGAGATAAGGCAGGTTCCCTCGCTCGAGTGCCGGTAGTGGGTGTCGAATTTGTTAATTGTTTTCCCGTTTTGAACTCCCTCAACCTTTTGAACAAGTAATCAGTTGCAGTTGCCTGGGAGACGAAACGGCGAACACACTTAGATTAGAAGCATTCTAATGTCGAGGGAATGGAAAAGGGAAAAGTCTGAAGAACCAAAATGACTGTCACCACCAGGACTCCAACCAGGGACTTTCCCTTGAAGCCAGCGGTGCTCTAGTCCCTGAGCTACAGTGAAGCTGTCATCCCTGCAGAAAATGTTCAACCTTTTCTTCACACTTAGGTACTGGAACACATTTCAGTTGCTTCGATAGGACCATTGTGAATTTCGTCCACGAGGAGACTTTCCTCAGTTGTTGTAAACGCAAGAGGAAAGGAACAAGAAAGATAACAATTTCTAAGTACTACAGAGAGTTTTTAGACAACTTGGGTCCCTGCTGTGTGAGGCAGGCAAAAATGCAGACCAGTGCAATACGTATTCAGTGAAGCGGTGCAACTAGTATCTGCTGCGACGCACAAGGGACATATTTTGCTGGAGGCAGTGATACCGAAATACCAGCATAGCACAACATAAAGGCATCATTTTATGTTGTAATTCTAGTAAATGTAGTTCGTAGTTGATCACGGTCTTCGGATGCCAGCACGGCGTAGACCCCCTCCTCTCTAAGTGAATGGCATCAAATTTGCTGTTGCCAGTTGAGTGTTGATCATTGGAAATCAACACTGGCAAAGAGCCAAGTCTTCTGCGTGGTGGCGCACATGTATGTTTGTGTAAGCACGGAGCCAAGTCACCAGTCGTATTGTGCATACACACGCTTGAGCAGCGGTAGAGCCCAGTCCCGGACAGCCAGCAACCACAGGAATACCAGTACTACATATACTATAACTATGATGATCTCAATATTATTAAGAAGCTCTGAACATGAAGTCTCAATTTCGGTCCAATCCCCTCATCCTGATCAACGCGAGCAGCACTGAGCTACATGTACACAGATCGCCTTGTTACGTCATCTTCGCCGCAGCGAGGTACAGCGTACAGTGAAACCTGTCAAGGCGACCACTCGGATAAGGCGACCACTCGGATAAGGCGACCACCTGTCCCAGAAGACTACTGCAGCCAGGCCCAAGGCCAGGGGTGCTATTTCCAGTCAAATGACCTTGGATGAGGAGACCACCTGGTAACGGAGACCACGTTTTGAAGGTCCCTTGAGCGGTCGTCTAAGAGAGGTATCACTGTAGTTCAAGTAAAGGAGCCTGTTACCAGTGCTCTGGAGGGAAGTGCATGATTGTACATGTAGAGCTAAACTTGCGAATCATTCGAACGTGCATATGGGTAATGTCCGTGTTCGCTAGTTGCTGTGATACCCATGGTCGTTACTAACGAGATTGACTGTATGTAGCGCAGTGCAACTAATAGAAATGCTTCCCGAATTCGCCCCCTCTGTGAGCGTCATGTCGTGGCGATTTGCTTTACAAATTTGCTCATCAAGCTGTAATGCTGTTAAACAACGTGGAGCCGACCTCGGCGCACGTACACATACATTCATGGTGCATAAACACTTTTTTGATGAGAACATGCATAAAATTAATTCTGTGCTTGTCAGTGGTGTAATCACAAACAGTTGCCACCCGCAGGGCTTTACAAATGGCAATGCCAATTTAGTGGATTTCTTTACGTCCAGGTGATTTCATGCGCAGGGCGTTATCTTGAAAAATGACACTCTCTAATTTCATCAGGTTGATTTGCTGTGCGTGCCGTCCAAGTGTGGTGATCCGATTTAGAACGCACCGAGCGTGTGTCAAATGCCAAACTCAGCATGATGTCCCTGCGTGGAATCTGTAATAACAAAAACGGGGAATTGATCCGCGCTGCTAGCTAGTATGCCTGACAAGGATAGCAAACTATTCCATGTTCACCGTAACCACGAGTGGCAGCAACACCAGCACCAGCGCCAAAACCGCATTATGAAAACCAACACCACTGCAACAGTGTACCACTACTAGCATTCATTTTCACCACAAAGTACTGCTGCAACATAGCCAGTACCACCAGTATCAACACTTTCAATAGCATCACCAGAAACATGCCAACAGCATCACCACAAACCATCACCGCAACAATACCATCCGCCCTAGCACACGCTGCAAGACCATTACAACTATGCACATAATCATTTACAGAATGTACAAGTCTGACAAACTTCCCAGTTGATACGTTGAAGGGCATACATGTACGTGTACGTGTAGAAACCAACCGGCAACGGATGCAAAACGATATTAATTAACATCTACGTCAGACACTGTGTGGTGTTTGCCGCTTGTCAGTAGGCCCCTGACACGTTTGACGTGCGCGCCAGCCGACGTCGGGCAGCACTCCGCAATTCGAGCGCAATCTGCGCCAGGGCCCCAGGCATCACTGAGCCGGAAAACGGCCCGCAGATCAGATGCCTAATCAGAAGCCCGTGTGCTGTAGTACACGATGCAGCCAGGCCACATGAAAGGCACCGGTTAACTCACAAATTATATCTGATTGATTGGAGGACAAAAGGCTGGAGATGAGTAATCAACACCAACCGTTAAGTGTACTATCTTCAGCCGAAAACACTGCAGGGTGGGTCAAAAACGGCTATGCACCTAACAACTTTTGATCTACAACTCTTGAGGAGTCTGGTCGCGACCCAGTGGCACGGGCTGATACGGCATACTTGGCTGAGAGAAGCTTGATCGATTAGGTCCTGTTGTTGAGCAGCTCGAGTGGCTTGGCAGGCAGCGTTGATTGGTTGGCGTTCGTGTATCGAGAAAGCCGGTGCAGAGTGTGTGTGATTGAGCTTTGCGACCAGATGCATGTCTCAATTACGTCTTACCAATGACTGGATCCTGCATGATTGCTGTATTCACTCCTGCAGACTTCACTGACAATAGGCAACAGAAGGAGATTGGAGACTAGAATGGTTTACTACTACACCTAGTTCTAGTGCATTATCCTAGATAGTACCTGATCAATTAGAGAAAACAATGTCGCCTCTTGTATTTGCAGTCGTTGCCTAATGACACCCTTCACGCACTCAATCTGCAAGCACTTGAAGTTGTCAAAACACTGATGATTAACCTCGAGCTTGGCTACTCATAACATCATGCAGCTGTTGTGTGCATGCACTACCTAGCCATGGAACTGGCATTCACCTGGCGTACTGCGTAGACCTGAGACTCAGTGGTGTCCATATCACTCTGAAAGTTGGCTAACCTAAGTCACAGTAAGTGTACGATCATGTACGCGGTCAGCTCAACACAAATTGCATGCCTTACGTTATCACGTACATACATGATTGTGTGTAGGACAGTGTCAGAACAGAGTTAGGAAGCTCAAGTAAATACCAGGAATCTTTTTTAAATTAACAGAGAAGTTTAGAATTCCAGTCAGATTCGCACCATAATAGTCATGGTAGTCCAAACAGGTTCCGCTACCTATATGTATGAACTTGGTGCCTTTGTCAGCATGGAAGGCAATCAATGGTTAAAACGAAGTGTACGCCAAATTCGATTCATTCGATAAGAGGACCCAAGTCACGTTCGGAAGATGCCAGCATTCTTCTGCGATCTGCCCATAATAACACTTGGCGGTTTTCGAATAATGGGTCGATAGCGCACGATGCATCAATAACGCTGATCATGTACATGTAGACTCCGGCCATAATTGAATACTTGCAAGCCGAAGTAACACCCAACCCTGCTGCGTCCCAAAGTAAATTCGAACTGTTACTTCTCCTTGGTTGTTTTATAAAAGTTCACTCGTTTTGCATTGTCCATTAGTACAACGACGATTCCTGATAAGTGTTTTGCGAAAACCTGTTCGAATCTTTTCCTTTTGTTACTGCAGACTGTTTTCTA